AAACCAACAAGCAGAGAAGAAAAGGAAGCTTAAACTCCATAGTTGGTTCAAGGCAGAAGAAGAAGAAGCAAGAAGAAAAATCATAAAGTCTCAAAATCCTGAAACCAAAACACATCAGTCCACTTTCAGGTAAAAACTGAAATTTTCCATCCATTATCTCGAAATACTTTCTGATCCAAAGTTGTATCCCCGGACGATACAAATCCAGCCCAACAAACGGCTTGCGATTTCGTTAAGTAACGAAGAAGATATGGCCAAAATACCGGGACTGCGCCAGTGGTGGCGAGCTCCTCGAGTTGAACCATGTTTCTTCACCATATTCATGTTGTTCCATTCCAAATACTCATCATAAACTCTCTAACGATTATTAGGAACATCCGGAAGGTATCATAGAGAAGGTTCGGTGTTGGAATATTGGAGTTAATGAGTTAATCGTCGAAATCATTGTTCATCGACATATCCGAAATCCTAGACAGCAACTATCCTTTGACTTCAGGTCCGATTTACGCTATCTTACATCTGTTAACTCAAAATACTTTCTATACGAAAGTTATAGACTTACATCTTAGAAATCCACAGAATCAAACGGTTTGCAATTCCGTGAAGAAACGATGGAGATATGCCCAAAATACGGCAGGCTGTCCAATTGTGACGGAAATGACAAAGTTGGCGAACTTCGATGTTGTTTCCACTCCCGCTCATCCGTAAGGTTTCACCCGATAATTTCCATGTCTGTACCCTTTTGTTAGACTTGTCGAATCATTCATCACATACATACATGAACATGTATATTAATCCATATGTTGAAATCATCCCAAAATATATATGTGATCCATATATAAGTCATCTATATGTTGAGATCAAAATACACCAAATCCATAAAATTAATATACACATAAGTAAATATAAACTTTGGAAATCAACCCAACAATATGTATATGTTAATCAAAGGTGTTTAAAAGACTTAAAGAAGTATTTTGGACACTCAAAATATCAAGAGAAAGAGTCGCAGACCCAAACGGTCGACGCAAACGGTCGACCGTCGTATTAAACTTTGAAATGGACCACGACTGTCAGCAGAACGGTCAACCGCTGTCGGCGAACGGTCGACCGCCGCCAGCCAGCCGAAGTCCGCCATCCGTAGCTAGTCAACAACGGTCGACCGCCGGTCACCCGCGGTCGACCGTCACGGTTATCCGCCAATCCGACCTGATGAAGACCAAGGTCGACCGTCGCGCCAAACGGTCGACCGTTTCGAGCCCCGTAGCTTAATTAAATGATATTTTTATCAGATTGCACCCAAATAAAATAAAGTATATTTATCCATTCATATTGTTTACAAATTGTTCATATCATATGACTCATATCATCACACATATTGTAGCATATCATATCATATGCATGCGTAAGAGATCATGCGTAATTGCTTCTCTTATAGCGTGATGTGCGGGACTTAGCAGTCCGACATCACTGACCGGGCTTAGTGTACATACATGGTGTTCAGGCTTTCGAGTACCACCCCTATTTTTCTAGTCTCCCTTGTGAGACTAAGGCCGCTGAGTTCATCGTACCAAATGGGCGAATTTCACAATGCAAGGGTCGTCCTTGTTGACTTAGAATCATGCATCATGTTATCATCATCAAGTACATTGATTACATAGGTGTCATGTAATCATCATCAAGAACAAATATATTGATTACATAGGTTTCATGTAATCATCATCAAGAACAATTATATTAATTACATAGGTGTCATGTCATTATCTTCAAGAACAAGCAAATTGATTAAATGTGCCATCATTTAATTATCATTAAATATTTATCATCATGAATCATCAAATTAATCATATGATATAATGTGCCATATCATGAATATTATTATACACCTTGTGGACGTATATATATGTATATGTATATGTCTGTTAATTATTCTACAATTCTAGCGTGGTACCACTCAGCGGTATCGCTGAGCGTGTAGTTTGCATTTTTCGTTGACTACACGTAGGTAACAAGAGGACAATGACGGAACCACTCCCGGAGGGCATTGAGTCAGACGAGATGCAAGGATAGCAGGCAAATGTTTGACATCAAAGATTTTATTTAACTCTCGTTTCACCTTAATTCGTGTAATTCCGGGTCATACGGATTGGGGTGTTACAGGTCGTACGCTCGGCCTCGGTCCTAGGCAGCAGCAGACCAGGCCTGGAGAAGGAAGCTGGCTAACAGTCAAGATCAAGGGGCCCACGATTAGACTCCTGCCGTACTTCCCCTGTCATACCTCTGGCAGGGTTGTTCTAGCCACCCTATTTGTAACCTACTTTGTATAGCAATCCTAGGTCTAATAATGTGTTTGGACGCCGCCAGTGAACAACCCAATCTTAGTGGGCCCAGACCGTTGGACTATGGACCAACAGTCGGAACCCTAGTTTGTAATCTACATATAAACCCCTTCCCTTCTAAAGGAGGAAGGGGGGACTGCTAACGAGCACAATATAGTACTCCCAATTTACTTGAACCCAAATTTGTGCACTCTCGACTCAGTTCGATACTCTTCCGCCTAGTTTCCTAGGCCCCCTAGGTTCCTTAACCCAACATTGCTACTTTCATTGAGAGTGTCGAACACATCAAGCGTGCTCCAAAAAATGGTTGCATCAAGAAGGGTGACTAGGTCATCTACTATAACACCCTAATCCGTCCTAATCCGTCCAGGTCTGCAGCCCCTTTCGGACTAAAGTATTAACTTAGTAACGTAAAAATTTCAAACATTTAAAAACTTTATTTCGAACAATTGTACAAAATATTTCATAATTACATCGGAGTAAAATTATTTAAAACAGTGCGGAAGCAATTTGTAAACTAAAATAGTATGATCAACCTATGTGATAAAATCATTTACTTAAATAGTATATTTGTTCATGTCCACGCATCACCTCCATCTCAGTATTCTCCAGAACAGGCTCCACATTTATTCTCTCTCATACCTACGTGTAGAAAAATGAAAAAGTCTACATGCTCAGCAATGAAGCTGAGTGGTACCATGGCACAACAAAAGAATTCAAAAAATAATTTTCTTAAGCAATACCAATCATATATGTTCAAAACATTTCTTTTTCATATTTAAATTCGTCTTTGTTATTGTAACAGGGATAATGAACATAGTCTATTATTAAATATCATCATTCAAAATTATGTAGTAATCAGTCCAAAATTCACAATCATCACATGTCACTTTTGTTATCACAACATTCATCATTTGTTACACATAATTTCATATCAAATTTTATCACAATTTGCTCCTAACTTATTCTAAGTTAAGGCTAAATCATATCAATGCTCTTAAACTATTTTTAGTCTAAGTCAAATTAATATTGATAACATAGCTCTTAAACTATAACTAGTCTAAGACAATATTTCTAACCAGTCCCTTAAACTATAAATAGTTTAATGCAGAACACAAGAATCGATAATCCACCCTATGAGTCACGTGGATTACGTACCAAACCGAACAGTGATCTGTCGGGTGGGTGATATCCGATCTGGATCCCGTACGTACGTTTTAACCCCGAATCATGAATTGGTCAAGGAGGTATATCTTAAAACTCGTCACTTCCGTCACTACTGTACCAGCCCTGGTTTTTGGGCCATATCTCCTTCGTTACTCAACGAAATCGCGAACCATTTGATTCTACAGATTTGTAAGACATAAGGCTACAACTTTCGTTTAGAAACCAGATTAAAATAACGAGTTTAGATGGGTCGAATAGCGCTTACAAGGGGACTCTTTTGCCGAGAATTTTCTTTTCACATTTTCGCCCAACTTCTTTGGTCGAGATCGTCATGAATGAACATCGAGACTTGATGGATGCCATATATGAATGATTGGGAGGTCGTTCTCTACATGACACCGTTGTCGCATGTTGATATCGTCTTCACACGGATTCCGGCAAAATTCCGGTCAACCTCGCAAGCTTCAAACATGGAGGATTTCTTTTCTCTTTCTTTTTTTTAAAAACCTTTTTCGTTGCCTTGGCTTACTTTTCATCCAAACTGGCAGGGGAGTTCTTTAATGGGAATGAAGATATATTCTAAGAGAGATAATTAGGACTAAAGTGAGAGAAGAGCTCATTCACATGGGGTAGAAAATAGAGATAAAGGTGGAGTGATATTTCTTTGTCTTTCTTTGCTTCTTGTTGCGCATGGAAGGCTCAAAGTGGAAGAGGAGACTACATAATAAATGTTTGCAAGTGGGGTTGTGAGGAAATAATATTAGGAGTATTTTTTTTTTGTTTTTATATGTAAATTGAATGAATGCTTATGAATTAAACTATTACACCTTTTGAGTGGGAAGGGCTAAGCCCAATGAGTAGATTTTAGGAGATACTGAGGCTATTAATTTGTTTCCATATCCAAATTGATAAACTAATTTCAAATGATACACACTTTTGTACCCAAACACCTCTTAATTAAAATCGATTACACCCTTGCAATCAGACAATCAAGCTTTACGCAATAATATAATTTTCACATATTTTTGAAATACTTTTTCTGACACCATATTTTTGGGTATTGACTTTGAAAGAGTCAAAATTGAATTAATTATATTATTAAAATTACTTTCATAATCAATCAATATTATTAAATTTAAATATTTATTTCAATAAATCATTTTACAAAAGTTCACATCTTTGACTACTTCTCATTTTTATGCAAATTACATATTTAAAATGTCATACTGAAAATCTGTACATTAGATTTATTCATAAAATATACTGTTGGATTCGTCTCTTCGAGACCTATCCATAAAACTCAATTTTAACAAAAAATCATTGACTCCAAAATTTCCTTCATTTTTGGTCAAACATAGAGATAATATTTTATTGGGTCAAAATATTGTTTTGAAATTCTTTTATCATAAAATAACTTTTAGACCATGTTTTGGGGCGTTACATTTCTTCCCCCCTTAAAAAAAATTTCGTCCCGAAATTTTCTAAGGTAAAAATTCATTTCAAACGTAATTCACAAAATGATGAATACAACACTTCTTTTGTGATTTTTTTTGACAAAGGGTTGTTTTGTACTTTTGTTTGGGTGAGTAAACAATGATGTATTTTTGTTCAAGATTAGAGGACTGCGACTGACACATAGATCGTGTTTCGAATTCTTCTAGCTGAGATTCGTGCCAAGTAGATTTACGGATTCTTTTGCTGCATCGCAGGAGTCTTCAATAGTCTTTTTATGATTGCGTCTTTCAACTCAAATATGTTTTTTTTTGCTTCGTAAATGTCTAGAAGCATCCTCAGACTAAGTCTGGAATGTTGGTTCACAGGATACGCACACTATTTGTCATTCTGGACATATGATTATTTTTACGATTGACATTCGTAATTTTAGTTGTATAGCAACGTTTGGCGAATAGTAATTATCCTAGTAGTCACTCTAGGTTCTCTAAGTAGATAGCTAAACAAGGATTCATAATTCAAAGTTTCTAAGTGTGAACCTTAATAAGGTTGCACTGATTCATATAACATTAGCAAGTATATTTCACGTCATTCAAGCAAATTGAAGACATCAAATATGTCAAAATCATATAACAACAACATTTGTTCACATCATATACTACAATATTTGGATCAATTCCATAGTAACAATTATTTATCTCAGCAAGATGGGGAGCAAGATGACATTGAATCAATAATTTCTAACGTTACAAAAAAAAATTTAAGTGAAGATTTCCATCTTCTAATATGCAACACATTTCTCATGATTTTTTTAAAATAGTTTTACCATTTATTTTTTTTATTAACTCAAAGAGTCTTTAAGCACACCTATTTTTTTACAAATATCATTAAAAGATTCTTTGTATTAAATAACATTGTCAAAAACTTATCTCGTCGCATTAGCATCAAAGAGTTTGTAAAACACATTTCTTTTGTAATTATTCATTCAAATGTTTTTCTCACATTTTTTTTTAATCAATTCCTTTTGAAACTTAACAACATGCTCACATATTTGTGTTCTTATGCACACTGAAAATTTTTCTTTGAATTCCCACAGTAAACGAAATACGGAGTATAATTTATTATAGTATCTATGATACCACATAAAATATTATTTCTACTGATTTGAATTCATTTCAGAGTACAATCTTGAAGAATCTTTATGTGAATAACACTGCATAATAAACATATTTTCAACAAAAATTTGTTGAGTTTCAAAACATATATTCTTTCTTCAAAAATATTAAAGAAAAATACTTACACAAAGCTTTCAACAATCTGTTTTGGTTTTTCTTTTTGAGTCCCAAATCATATATTCTAAATTTATTTCCTTCGAAACGATTAATCAAAATGCTCACATAAATTTTTCAACAAATCTGTTTTGTATGATTTTCAAAATAAATCCCAATATTTTCTTTTAAAATTAACTTCAACATACAATAGCTTTAAATACACACACTCTTTTTTAATATTCAACATAGAATATTTTATGAAACAGTTTTCATTAATAAAAAGAATATTTGTTGTCATATAGTTAGATAGACAAAATTAATTTATCAAATCATTTGATATACAAAACAATTCATATAGATATTTTAAACCAGATTTAAGGGTGGCATAAACAATTTTTTTTGTAAACCATTTTGTCTTAAATAATCTCATCGTACGAAGACTTTTCAAACTTCTTTTTTTGAAACATCTTTCAACAATTTTTTTTGTTTGTAAAAATATTAATTAACATTATTTATTCACCAAGTGACTCAAAATATCATTTTATTTTTAAAATACATTTCAAAGATCACTATCACATTTTTTTAATATATGTTTATAACATTTTTTTTCCCACAATTAGTTCAAAAACATTTCTATAATGATATTGCACAATCAAAACAACATTCTTTTATCAAAATCTCTATTTGAGGGAAAAGTTTTCAATTATTATAACACATAATCTTGGAGAAATTTTTTTTTTCTCGACATGATACTTTCAAAAACTTTTGTTCATCAAAATTAATATTTTATTCCCTTGTATACTTCAAGGTATAAAATAATATCCATAGTGTGTAATAATAATTTACACAATCTTTTTTTAGATACTCCTTTTTTTTTGTTGAAATTTCATGACATTTGGCAAAAAAACACTTCAATTTTTTTTTACAAGAATTCAATGTATCAATTTTCAAAATCAATAAATATATACTTTTGTATAACCAACTTTCATTTGTAAAATATGTCACAATTCTTTTTTTTTAAAAAAAAATAATCTCTAACAGTGTCAATTTTTTTTAAAAAAAACATATTTTCATACAACACAATAATTTATTACCTTCCTGGAGCTGAGATGGAGTGGAGGATGCGGATTCAAAATTTTGAAAACAATTTAGTCAAATGGTCCAAAAACCGATTTTAAAACCATTTGCTCCGATACCAAACTGTAACACCCTAATCCGTCCAGGTCTGCAGCCCCTTTCGGACTAAAGTATTAACTTAGTAACGTAAAAATTTCAAACATTTAAAAACTTTATTTCAAACAATTGTACAAAATATTTCATAATTACATCGGAGTAAAATTATTTAAAACAGTGCGGAAGCAATTTGTAAACTAAAATAGTATGATCAACCTATGTGATAAAATCATTTACTTAAATAGTATATTTGTTCATGTCCACGCATCACCTCCATCTCAGTATTCTCCAGAACAGGCTCCACATTTATTCTCTCTCATACCTACGTGTAGAGAAATGAAAAAGTCTACATGCTCAGCAATGAAGCTGAGTGGTACCATGGCACAACAAAAGAATTCAAAGAATAATTTTCTTAAACAATACCAATCATATATGTTCAAAACATTTCTTTTTCATATTTAAATTCGTCTTTGTTATTGTAACAAGGATAATGAACATAGTCTATTATTAAATATCATCATTCAAAATTATGTAGTAATCAGTCCACGGCGAACAACCTCCAGGAGCGTAGCGAAACCCTTTGGGGTACAAAAAAAAAAGAAGGAAAGGAAAAAGAAAACAGAGCACACAAGCAATTTTATTACATAAAATATGCCAAAGGCAACAATACATTATCATTTAAGCACAAGAATGTGAAGCACTACTTCCCAAATGGTCAAAGTACACACCCATTTTTTCAGGAAAAGAAGAATCTACGGAGGATGTATCATGATCGGTCGCCAGCTTTGTTTTGAGGGTTGTGTTGGCAGTTTTCTTACGATGAGCACAGCGAAAGCCTTCGAGATAGTCACGCACGTTAGTACCCACCTTACGCACCAAACGACCACGTCTCTTTGAACCCTTTGCCGTAGCAGTTTCTTGATGAAGAGGGCCTTGAAGGGATTCCTCACTCAAGAAAGAAAGATCAGGATCAACCCATTTCCCCACCGCGGTCGGGGCGGTGGCGAAGATGGGGAAAGTGGAAGTCGCCATAAGAAACGAGCATGGAGGAGTGGCCCGAACAAAAGACGTTCCTTCTTCGAGAGAAGGAGTGTTGGGACTCAACACCATATCGCAAAAGAGCAAGTACAGAAGTGAAGAACGCATCACATTTATAAGCAGAACAAGGCATTCATTGCAAAAGCATTCACTACAGGGACATTCATTGCATACAAAGTCAAATTTCAATACAAGGTATTTTGAAAGCTACGACATTTATTACATAATTACACAGCGGCACTGAGAAAGGAAAATACCTAAGATGCTCTACCTCCCAATGGACCTCCTTTTTCCCTGGTCTTAAAATCTATGGGTAGGTAGATGCACCCCGTCCTAAGGCCCCATGGACTTCAAGATAAATAAAGCCTGGGCACCGAAGGACGTGGATGGCCCCCCTGTCCTGCAAACCTCCATGGGCAGATATACAGGGAGGGAGCATGGAATAGATATCTAGGAAGAGCCGACGGACTCTTCCAGGTGATTGTCACCCGCAGGAACGGCATCAGCAGCCGGCTGAGCGACCTCAACCGGAGGTGCAGGCCGTTGAGGGACCCCGTGAAGGTAATTCACGAGTCTTTGCAGACGTTCAATGCGCCTTTCCAACCTCTTTGCACGGTACCAGCAGGAGCAGGTACGCGATTCGGCGTCCTCCGGCGGAGAAGGAGGGGGACGACGGACGGCTTTTGGTTGAGAAGATGGGGGAACAATCTCTCTCGAGTTATTGGAAGCCATGGAGATGTTAGCACAATGGACGTGAGGAGAGATGGGTTCACAAGCACAAAGTGGAGGTTCAATTTATAGGCCCAAGAACAAAGGGATAATACGGGTGAACAGTCGCAGTGATTGGAATTGGAACCGTTCGTAGTGACACGTGGGTGAAACAGTGTGACGGTCCAGTGGTTAGGTCTTCTTACATGGGGAAGCCAAAGAGTCAGTCCCTCAAAAGGCGCAATTCGAATATATTCAAATAAATAATGTTAGAAGGAAATCTATTCACTATTCACGCATGCAACGAAATAGTAGAAAAATCTTGTTCATTCCAATGGAAGACAAAACTTCGAAAATTACAAAGGAAAGCATTAAGGAAGGGCGTCTGAAGGTTGCTCTTCGCCGACGACGACCGCACCCATGTCCTTGCGCTCGGGCGTCCCAAAGTAATCTGGATTTTCCCCGAGCTGATCATTCAGATTAGGGTCATGCATGTCTGGGATGTCAACCCCGGGCGGAGGGAAGGATGGGTCCACTCTTCTAGCCTGCCGAAGAACGAGCTGGATCCCATGATAGATGCCAGTCTCGAGCCACTTCGACCCCTCCTTTCCCATCTTCCTTATGCCGGCCTCAGTCTCAAGCCAGCTGTCACAGTAGTCAGCGAAGTTTTCCATACAGGCCTCTTTGAGGGCCGGGGACTGAAGAAAGTCGGAGACGACTCGCTCCTTCTCGGCGATGCCGTGGTCTTTCTCAGCAACAGCTTGCCTTTTCTCAGCAGGGGCCTGATCTCGCTGAGTTTCTAGGGACCGCTGCAAGGAAATGGCCTCGGCCAGTTCAACATCCATCTCCGCTATTCGGCCCTCGGACTGACGCAGCCGCCCCTCGAGCTCGGCCATGGAAGCCGTCAGTTGGGAGGCCGATTCCTCCGACTCTCTCAAAAAGCCTTGCAGCCGGACTACTTCCTCGGACTTCGCCACGACTTGCATCTCAAGCTCGGTGGCCTGTTCACGCTCGGCAGCCGCCAACCTCCTTAGCCAGGATAATACGGTATCCACCAAAGCCAAGAAGTCCACCCCCGAGGAAAACTCAGCTCTGGCTCGGCGTTTGCTGATTAGATCCAACTTCGCCGACCCCTAACAAAAGCCAAGTCAATCACCTATATCAACTAAGAAAACGAAGGCACCAGAAAACTCACCTCTTTGTGGAACCCATCCACCAATCCTTGCACGGACGACATGATCTCGCCCTCGTCCTTCAGCGCCGCGGATAGAGACGTGACCTCGGCCTCGGCCTGCACATTCCCGTCAGTTCTGTCAAGGAGGGCAAGGCACTTCCCGTCTTGGGGAGCGGCCGGACGTTTTGCCGACGGACTCTGGGTCAAAGCCACGTCCTGCTCGGATGCGGTCTCCTCTTCCTCGGTTTGGATGAGTTTCCTTTTCCTTTGGTTCCGGGTCAGAACCACTTCCCGGTCGGGGATGGTCGCGGAAGACCCGGATGTTTCTCCCGAGGGCGGTTCGCGTTGAACCTCCTCTTTTCGGCCCCGGCTCTGGGATAACAGTTTGGCCCTCCAAACAACCTCCAACGGATTCATGTTTCCTACAGGACAAAACATAGGTTAGGAAACTTGTCATTAAAAGGGAAGAATCCTAAGGTGAAGGACAGACCTCCGGAAGGCTCCACGTCAATGACATCCTCGGAGTATGATGGTTGACCTGACTCTTCATCGGTCTCAATTTCATCGCTCCCTTCCTCTTCCTTTTCTTCCGATTCCGGCTCTTCCGTCCTCGAGGCAGTCTTTTCAAGTCCATGCTTTGGACGACTCCCGCGCACGGCTTCGGCTAACTTGAACTGTCGTTCGAGGGAAATAAGGATCCCCACCTTCGCAAGGTTCTGCTCCGTGCAAATCGTATATACGTGAGGCGATTTGGGCCGGTAGTCTTCCAAGAGTTTCTGCGCGTGTGCGAGAAGCTCTAGAGTAGGGTCGGGACGAGGGTGACGGATGAAGGCGTGGCACTCAGGAAACCTGGCTTGGAAAGGGTGCTGGTCCCCAGGAAAGCTAGAGACGAAGACAAACTTAGCCTTCCAGAGTTTGAGAGAGGTGGGGGCGACGACCAAACCGCACTCGCTCTGGGAAGACACAACAGCGTACGAATTCCCCTCATGCGCGCCAATCTTAGAAACCTTGAACATGTACCGAAACTAATCCAAGGACCAGGGACTCTTTTCAGATGACACTTGATCAAAAAGGTAGAGAAACAATAGTAGGAGTGGGGACTGAGCTGACCGGGGAGAAGACGGTAGAAATTCAGAAATTGGACTATCAGATCGTGAGGAGCAAACCGAAGACCATAGCGCATCGATGCCACGTGCACCCCAACCTCGGCATCGGGGCTGGTCACGGAGAAGACATGATTTGTCGCGTGCGGTTGGCGCACGGAGTAGCCCTCCCCCACGAAGCGAAGGGCCTCGTCAAAGTCAACGTCTAACAAGAGACAACCCGTATTCGTGATTGGACCCGTCTCCAACACGGTAACGGGTAAGGATTTCCGGGTCTGACCCTTGACGGTTTTATGACCCTTGACGGTTTTCGATTTTTCCCCTTTCGGAGGCGCGCCCGGGACGACGCCGCCACGGTAACTAACGTACGGAGAGGCACCGCACTCAGAACCCTAGAATGGTCGATTCCTCCCATCAGACCGTCGGGGCGGAGGGAGGGATCTTGTTGGTACAACTCCTCAAAACAAACCACCACTGGGTCAACAGCGGGGATGGAAGGGGAAGAATCGGAAGACGCCATGAGAGCAGGGAAGGATGAACTAACCTTCGGGGCGGACTGCAACGGCGATGGCGAGTGAGCAAAGACGGTGAATGAAATCGACGGCGAAAGTGCGGCGCAGAAATGACAAAGGTGGAGAGGATTGGAAAAAATTTCACTTTTATATGACTAAGGGATCCGACCTGACTCAATGAAAAGTCACAATCACAGAGGGACGTGGCGTTCCCTCACGCGTACGATTGCAAATCGTCACGGACGGCTGGCAAGGGAACAGTACAGAGACGTTGCGTCTCCCAAGCAGCGCAATCATGCTTTTCAAATTTCGAAGGTGACACGTGTAAATCTTGCCATTTGGAACACTCCCCAACCCTCGTCAACACTCAAGTTGGGCAGCGGGGGACTCCTACATACGGCCAAGATTTTTCATAATTTAAATTCCCAACATTTTTGGATTACTTCCCTCGGCCTCGCTACGCTCGGCCCAAGAAGTAGGGGACTGATGATGGATACCTGGGAATAGGGGTATCCGGCCCAACAGAAGAGCGGACCTGCCCAACTTTGCTAAGGCCCACTTAGCGAACCAAAACAAGAATAGACAAAGGGCCAGGGAAGGCCAACACGGCAGCAACACACGCTCGGCCTCGGTCGGGTCGGTCGTCCTCAGACCACCCCTGGACGGCCTTCCACCAAGAGACTTCCGTTGATAGGTCGTACGCTCGGCCTCGGTCCTAGGCAGCAGCAGACCAGGCCTGGAGAAGGAAGCTGGCTAACAGTCAAGATCAAGGGGCCCACGATTAGACTCCTGCCGTACTTCCCCTGTCATACCTCTGGCAGGGTTGTTCTAGCCACCCTATTTGTAACCTACTTTGTATAGCAATCCTAGGTCTAATAATGTGTTTGGACGCCGCCAGTGAACAACCCAATCTTAGTGGGCCCAGACCGTTGGACTATGGACCAACAGTCGGAACCCTAGTTTGTAATCTACATATAAACCCCTTCCCTTCTAAAGGAGGAAGGGGGGACTGCTAACGAGCACAATATAGTACTCCCAATTTACTTGAACCCCAAATTTGTGCACTCTCGACTCAGTTCGATACTCTTCCGCCTAGTTTCCTAGGCCCCCTGGGTTCCTTAACCCATATGAGAGTGAGGAAGAAGAACTTCTCCATTGAAGAGATTTTTCTAGGTGTTTTTCTCTGGTAGTGAGTTTGAAGACTTTTCATATTGAAGATTTGTTGTGATGGAAATTGATATGGATTTGCTCGATTTATATAGGTGGAGGAGAGAAGAGGGGTGGTTCACGGGTTTCATTAAGAGGGTGGTTGGAACGGTAAAAGTAAATGAATTTCAACTTCCAAGATAAGTTGAATTTTGAAACGTTGAAAAATTCTTTATCAGTTACCAATGATCCAAAACCATTTCCAAGTGAACTAGATACGTTGGGTTTTAAATGAGAGAGTAACTATTTTGTTTTGGCTAAGCCTATAAAAGTGGCCCAAAATAAAATTTATGCACTGAAGGGAAATTATTCCTATTGGGTTCTCAAGGCCCAAAATAAAATCTATCATTTTTCATTCTCTAAAGTTCTATGTTCTAATTAGGACGAGGTAGTACCGAAATATGAAATTCATTTTTAAAAAAAATGGTACTAATTTTCCAAAGTCTTGTACATTTAAAAATCCTAAGGACCAATTCTTAGGGCAAGAGAGGAAATGACTAAGGATTGAAACTCAATATTTAAGAAGGCAGATATTGTAGAATACCTGAATCGGAGATATCCAACTCTAGTACAAAAATGAGGTATCTGACTTCCATGCTTAGAGAGTTTCGTCAGTAGTCCATTACCAAAAACAAAACATTAGCCAAAAACAGTTATATTCCCCCTGAATTATATTCCCCCTAAATGTATGCACGCATAGTAAATCTCAAAACTTATACTTAAAAGTCATGTTCAAGCATAATTGTAAGAGATTTAAGCAAAAGAATGTTTAAACAAGAAAAGTGTTTAAGCAAGAAGGTGTTTTCATCAAAACAAAAACATGTGAGTCTAACTTCCCCCTATTTTGATGATAAAAGCCTTCAAGTCTTTTTGCGTTTGGAGGATTCAGCAGATTCACCCAAACCTTGAAGAATGCCGCACTCAGTTCTTATTCACTTGAGATACTCCATTCGTTCCTTGTGCTGTTCCTCATGGGTGAAGTGCGAAGCTATCGTCCCTAAGGCTTCCATTCCATCAAATTGCTTCTTTGACAAGTATTGTACTAAGAGCTCCGGATTGCTCTTCTGGGCATCTAGGAGAAGATCAGACAGCTTCAGATGGGTTGGAATGTACCCTATTTCTCCTTGAGTAACTTGAATTGGGAGCTTGGGAATTTCCGGAAGATTCTTGTATTGGAAAACCACATCCAATAACATCAATAAACAACATCAATAATAATCATTATAATATCAAATAACAAATAGCGGTCTAGCATCGAGTGTTAACACTTAGCTTATCACCATACATCATATAAGGTTCTTTAGTTGTCCAAACATCATTTTTTACTCTAAGAAATTGTCTTTTTATTGATGTATCAAAAATAGGATTTTATATCTTCAAAAATAGATTTTTCGGACTTAAAATGTTCGCAATGGTCGACCGTTGGATCCGCACGGTCGTTCGTACCGTTCTGGATAAAACGCAAGAAACACGGAGTTACTATTCATCATCTTCAACCTTCGGTCGAATTTCTCAAAACACCATAAAAGCTTCTAAGCTTTAAACTAACTTCATAAAAATGTTTTCTAACGTCCATCGATCATTCACAAATGATTTATTTGAAGCTTTTATCAACAAAACAAATTTGGTGATTGTGAATATCAAAATATTTATATTTTCAAATATATATGAATCAATAAGTTCAAAGATCATTCCAATGCCTTCTAAAGTTGTTTAAAATCATGGTACAGACCTGGAAAATCAACGAGATGAAGCTCAACGAACGAACGAGAGTGAAAACAATGTCGGAAATGTCAAAATCCGTCACTTCCTGTCACCACGGTACCAGCCCTGGTTTTCAGGTCATATCTCCTTCGTTACTTAAGGAAATCGTGAACCGTTTGAAGCTACGGATTCATAAGACATAAGGCTACAACTTTTGTTTAGAAACAAGATTCAAATAACGAAGTTTAGATGGTGTAAAAATGCTCACAAGTGGGCTGATTTGCACATGGGATGTTTTCTTCATTCAACTTTTTGGGGCAACTTCCGGAAAGAATCGGCTACCTCCGGCAACTACGTTGACGATGATCACTTGCGGTCTATTCTCTATACTCTAACGAAACTATAGGAAGAAGAATGAAGAATTTTGGTGGAGAATTGAAGGAAAGATGATGCTCCAATTATAGGTGAAGAAGAAGAATTGTATGGAGTTTGGTGACTCCATTTGGGGTGATTTTCTTTGATCATCACTTGATTTGGGGTGATTTTTGTTCGGCACAATGGGGGTGGCGGCTGGTCTTTGAAAATTTCACACATTTTTCCTTGATTGTGTTTAAAATGGTCTCAATCGGGGTATACTTTTTGGTCTAACTTTTTCCAAATTGAAATCTGATTATACCGTTGTGGTCAGACAGTCAAGCTCTACGTGACAATATAATTTTCACATTTTTTTAAATACTTTTTATGACACCGTATTTTAGGGTGTTGACTTTGACAGAGTCAAAATTAAATTAATTGACATATAATTAAAAGTACTATCATATTCAATCAATATTATTTAATTTGAATAACTTATTTCAATAAATCATTTTACAAAAGTTTTCATCTTTAACCACTTCTCATTTTTATACAAATTACACATTTAAAATGTCACAACTCAAAATCCGTACATTAGATTTGTTCATAAAATATACAGTTGGATTCGACTCTTCGAGACCTATTCATAAAACTAAATTTTAACAAAACATCATTGACTCCAAAAATTCCTTCATTTTTGGCCAAACATAGAAATAATATTTTGTTGGGTTAAAATATTGTTTCTAAAATACCTTTATTATAGAATAATTTTAGACCACGTTTTGGGGCGTTACAGGGAACCAGAGGGCGGAGCGGAAGGCGACGAGACATTTGCCGACCGTACAATCTAGGCGGGGGAAGGAGCAGAAAAGGGGAAAACATCTAAGGGGTGAGGAAGAAGAAGAATAAGAAGAAAGGGGGTGAACGAAGAAGAAAAAAAGGGGAGTGGTAGGGGGAAGAAGAAGAAAAAAAGAAATGAGGTCAAATTGAAAATTTTAAAATATATAAAATTCTAATTTAGTCTAAATGACTGGAAGTTAATTTGGAAACGGGTAAATGGACTTTTAGTGAAAGGAATGTAAATTCAAGTATTTTTGTGAAAGAATTTAAAATTCAGATAGCACCTTGAAATTCCATTCAATTACAATTACTCCCTCCGTCCTAAAACTTTCTTCCCGTTGCGCAAAACGAAGAAAAATCCCAAGTTTTTTCAATCTATTTTATTTAAATATTGGTATAGAAATAAAAAATAAAACATACATATTTAAAAACTACATCAAAAATTCAACAAAACAAGTGGTGACAAGAATATTTTATTTTATCATATAGGCCATGAAAAATCACAAATAAATATAAATTCTCGTGAAGTTGGAATAGTGTGAAGAAAGTTTTAGAACAAAAAAATGTAAGAGAATGTGTGAGAGGGTAGCGAAGAGGAGGTTTGAAGCGCCAGGCTTCAAGGGTATTCAGTGTTCTTATCCAAGGGAAAAAGGCTGTCGTGAATTTCCCTCCACGTTTTCTTCAATCAACCAAAGTAGCCATGGCAATGGCGGTTCGCACCCCGTCACCCTTCGGCTTTCAGTTTAAACTTTTCCGTTTATCTTCCAATCTCACCCCATTTCCTCACTTGAGTTCCAAATCCCATCAAATTTCAATCCCTTTCAAGTTCAGATTGACGCAGTGCGCCAAGAAAGAGGTGAAACCCGCCGCCGACCCCAAGCTCGGCGTCGCAATATACAAGCCGAGGTCTTACGATGTCCTGGTATCTGACGCCGCAGATTCCCTGTCTTACGCTCTAAGCGACGGGAAGACTCGCGTAGAAGTTGAATTCCCGTAACTCTATTGCTCCTATTTATCCTCTATCTGTTAACATATTTTGCGATTTTTATTTCTATTATCTTTTTTTAAGTAGCTTTTAATCCTTCCCTTTTAAGTGTGAAGACAAGTTTACAATAGGTTTACAGTTCTCTCAAGTCTCAAAGCTTAAACTTCTCTGGCACAAAGGAAGTATTTGTTAGTTTAATTGGCTCTGCATTTAAAAAAAATACTATCACTCAAAATTTAATGTATTTCATTGAAGAATTCAAACATGACAATTTCCAACGGGGCAGAGGGAGTTATATTATTGTCCTTATTTTGATGCAAAGTAAATACAAGTATATTTTGGTTCCATATCCCTTGTGCCTTTGTGTAGTAAAGGAAAATAATTTTAATGTATTCTATAGAATCAAACTTTGATGAAATGAACGTGCCAAATGCCATGAGGGAAACTTGAGGCTGAGAATCACAATCCCATTCATACCCAAATCATGAGTGCCAGATGTAGTCTTAAATGTCATTCAATTTATTTTTTCTATGATACAGTTTTATAATCTCAATTACCTAGACTTCATTATTGATTATGCTTCTTTGTGGGGTTTCTTCTTATGTTCCAACTCTTCAACGATCCTCAGCCCCTTGCCCAGCAACGTTTCTTCGTATAAGGTATGGTATTAGTTTTACCATTTTGACAATCAAGTGGCTTTTAATACATGATTTCCTAGTGTAGTTGTTTGTTTTTTTCGATATAGTACCATTTTGGGTTTGTCAGTTGTGTAATGCATGTGGATGATTGGTAGTAGCTTTTGCAATTTTAATGAGCTTCATTGAAACAGGAACCTCGTGAATGAGATTTTTCTGATTAAAGATTTTTGCGTGATTGATATTTTTGATTTCACGAATATTTGAAGGGATCATCAGATGAGTTTAATGATGCCAACGTTCAACTTGTATTGGCTATTGTCAAGAAGCTTCAAGAAAAGAAGGAAACAAGGGCTTGCATTGTAAGAGAACCCTATTTATGTTTTCTAGTTCACTTAATGAGATCATTATTGTTGTTATTATTACTATTATTATTGTTGTTGTTGTTGTTGTTGCTGTTGTTCTTGTTGTTGAAGATCTTACAAAGTTGCTTGCTTCAATGGTATTTTCTTTATTATTATTGAAGATCTTACGTTGACGCTTACTTCAAAGGTATTTTCTGATAAGCCGGAAAAGCGCAGGGCATCAACACTTTTCAGAACAGCTTTTGACATGGTAAATGTTGTCATTATCATGGTCATCATTGTTATTATTGTTATTTTTGATACATTGCTCTGCTTGTTATTTTGTAGTGTGATTGCTAAAAAATAAACTTTCTCGTTGAAACTATGTCACTTGTGGAATACCATAGTATGTATTGCTGCTTAGCACATATATGTGCAAGGTCTGAGATAGATGTACAATTACTCTTTTTTTTGTGAATAACATCGGAAACATTTTCTTGAAGAAAGGAAATCTTCACTCACTACTATTCCATATGGATCAAAAGAAATTACATTCTCCTATCAGTTCCAAAGAAACTTGATGAAAATGATGTACTTCCTTCGTTCTTTTCATAAATGCAACGGGGAGATGCCTAGATGGCACAAAAATGAGGTAGCTGTTGGTGATGTGTAGTCATCGGCCCAAAGTGGCCCACTTGTAGACAACTGAGAGTTAGGAGACCGGATTAGGGTTTCGGCCGGCCCAAATGGTTTTAAGCCCAGTTTGCTATAACTTGTCCAGTAAGGGTTAAACCCTAATTAGTTGTCTATGTATATGATCTCCTGTACTTGTAATCATTATCACTCAATAATACAAACCCTAGTTGTCCCTGTGGATGTAGGTCAGATTAGACCGAACCACGTTAAATCTCGTGTTCTTTATCGCTTTCTTGCTTTATATTCGTGTGTGTGCTTTTGTCCTTAACAGTAGCTGTGTGTTCAGTCTTACAATTTGATTGGGAGAGGGAAAAAAGCTACTCCGTACATTTGTATAATTGTTAGTTGGGGAAATGAAGGGTATCATAGTCATTTAGGCACTTTCACAACCCAAAATTAGACATGTCAAACAAGTCATTGGGGTTGAGGTTGGGCTTACATCAGATCGGGTAACATTTGGGTTGATGAATTTCGGGTCAGGTTATATTTGATTCGGGTCAAATTTGGATCAATGTATTAAGATTCGGGTTTGGATTCAGTTTGAGTTATGTTTGGGTTGGATCCAATTCGGGTGAAGCTTAGTCAGGTCAGTTTGGGTATGTGTTGGGTCAATGTTGAATTGGATACGTTTCGGTTAAGGCTTCAGGTCGATTTTGGGTTAGGTAAGAGTCGAGTCAGGTCAAATTTCAATGGGGTTTTTTTGGCCAAATTTTAAGTTGGGTAAGTTTCGGGCCGGATAAAATTTTGATCGCATTATTTTTGGGTTGACTTAGATTTTAATTTGATTTCTTGAGATTTGATGATGTGAATGGAACTCGAAATTGGATTAACCATTCATTTCGATTCAATGTTTAGGAGAACCGATAAAACAATTTTCAATTATGATTTTAATCTCATCAATATGATTTAGGAATGGGTATTCTTTTTTTATCCAGACTCATATTTGACTCTTAAATAAAAACAAGGATGAACTAATTTATACAAGTTTGGATTGTCACTTCAATATGTCATGCATCTCAATTGAACGCATCATACGATATAAAATTCTTCTTGATCACAACCAATCACACATTGTGTAAGGTCTTAATCTGTCAATTGTCACCTTTTCATATAACTTATAACATTTTTAATTCTCAGCTCCAAGTATCAATTACATTAATTAATGAATAAATAATTAAATATGCTACATATAAGAATATAAAATGCAGAGTACTCCGTACAAAAGGGTAAAAATTATGGAAATACAACATATACTCTCTTGGAGTATATTTGTAGTACATTGCATCCTATATCCTTTTGGAGTATATTTTGTAGTCCTTATCTCTTGTTGGGTGAGACTCGACCGGGTCAAGCTTAGGTTGGGGTCATTTTTGATCAGTTCCGTTCAGGTTTCAAGTGAAAAACGGTTCAATTGTTTCAGTCTCAGGTCGGGTCTGGTTTCAGGTATTCCGGATCAAGTCATATGGTTTGGGTAAGGTCCATCCAAAATAAAAGTGTTGCAGTTATTTATAAACATCCAAAAGGAAAGTGTTGTAATTATTAAAGAATGGAAGAAGTATTATGCAATATGTTACACGTTTCCCCCCTTCAAGCAAGCCTAAAACATCGTGAAATGTGATATTCAGATGTCAAAATATAATAAACTTGAATATACTTGTCGCGGGTTTGGTCCCTTAGCCTGCATAATGACAAGGAATTTGGCTATAGCCTACCTGCCCTACCAAAATTATAAAGCTCACTACTCATTGAGGCAATACCATGAACTCACAACCTATGAGAGACATTTTTCTCTTCATTCTCTAACCAGCCAAATGAAGGGAAAAACATAGGGTTCATTATTTTGTTTAATTCTATTCCCAGCTTTCTATTTTCCAATTTTTATGTTTTATGCTTTGTGAAACCGCCCCCGTGTTTTTGACAACAAAAATTGTTTATATAATTTGACAACAGCACCTACGGTGCTCCATTCAAAAAATTGATGGTTCCTACCCTCCTTACCCCCACCCCAGCACCCTCCTGCCCCCTCCCCAAAAACGCGGATTGGCTACAATCGGCAATTTTGGTGAGGGGGCAGGGGGTTAAGGGGGTAGGAACCTTCACTTTTTCAAACGAAGAACCGTAGGTGCTATTGTCATATTATGACAACAATTTTTGATGTTAAAAGAACCGCGCTGTTGTGAAACATAAAAAATGCATTTTTTGAAAACAACTTTGAAATTGGAGAACATTTTTTTGTTTTCTATACATTTTAAAGCTGGTGAAGTAAACATGTTTTTTGAATTCAAAAAAGAGAAAAAGTATACATGTTTCCCGAATTATGTTATCCAGTATTTCAAAAAACCCAAAACCTTTAATGTGCATAGGCCAACCCTTTTGTTTTAATTCTATTTCTCTCCTACTTTTTTCAATCCACCCCCTAATAATCTACTAATTTTCTGCTCCCATACTTCTTTCTTTCCTCAGTCTCTCTTTATCCAAACAAGCCTAACCAGACCCTTAGTGGTCCAATTGCTTCATTGAGCACAACATATTAGGGGGAGTTCTTATTGATTACTAGAATCACTGTTATTTGATCTTCTGTATATCAATTGTACTGCAAGTCTGCACAAGGATTATAAGGCACGTCCCACCACAACTTAGTGACTAGATCTACGCCAAAATTGAAGAACTAACAATAGAAAGGTCAACATCCAAAGATCGGGAGAAATTTGTATACTAATATCCTTGAGGCATCAAATCCAAAGTACACGAGTTTAGCTAAGGTTAAGCCTTACCCAAACTGGATAGGTACACCCCTCCCAACTAGATTGAAAGATTCTGGGTTTTACTGACGCTCGGAATCTCACTCAAACCATTGTTGCATTGCATGTTTAGAAGTTCTCCAATATTTTCATGGTCAAAATATTTTAGATATTAACTGGTGCCATTGTATGGTTTTGAGGCAACTTAACTGACTCCAGTATCCTTTTATCTACTGTTTCAGATTGATGGTTTAACCATTGGGACATTGGAAGATGTTCCTATTGGTCCCATGATAACATTTTTCAGATCATTAAGTCGCACATTGGATTTTGATTTTGAGGAAGACGATGAAGGTTTGTTGATTTGTTCTCCTTATTTCAGATCCACTCTGATAATATGATGAGCTTAACTGCACACCAACCATTGGTCAATGATGCAGGTTGCTGGCAGTCTGATAAGCCACCATCGATTTATATATTTATCAACTGCAGCTCTGCTGATCTTTCTTCCATAGAGAAGTACGTGGTATGATGTGCTGCTTTAAGGTCTGTGCATGTTTTTTTAAACAAGCAGACACACCATAGACACTAATAGCACTAGCCTTATCTCAAAAAGGCTTCAGGTCTTTCCATGTTCTTTCTGTGTGTGAGCCATTATTCTGCAAATTGTATATGAAATCTAACTTGTGAAATATACCAGCACACCTAGGTATGACTTTTTCAACACCTGCAAATTGTATATGATTTCTAACTTAAGAAATATACTGAGCTTCCATTCAATACAAGTATACAATTTTTCAAATCCTTACCTTCATTTTCATCTCTGTTATATTGGCATGATGCAGGAAAAATTTGCCATGGAAACCCCTGTTGTGCTGTTTAATCTAGAACTTGACACTTTGCGGTATATTTTCACAAAATTGTTTTTTTAATGTTCACTTTGAATCCCTTCTTTATGATGGATTGTGTTGCAAATAACAGTGGGGACCTGGGGCTCTTCGGATTTCCATCCAAAGAGTTGCATTATCGATTTCTTTCGCAATTCATCCCTGTGTTTTACATTCGAACTCAAGATTATTCCAAGGTGCATTCCAGCTTGTACTCTGTTTATATAAAAGTTGTCGTTTTTACCCATTCTGTTAACAATAATGGTTGCAATTTCCCCCTGTTGGAAGACTGTTGCTGTGGCACCCTATGTTTTAAACTATAGTGGAGCTCTACTTCGTTTATACCCAGGTACCACTTTTGATGCATGCCCCTATTTTCAGCGAATTATGAATTGGAGGAACTTGCACGCATGCTGTCTTAACTTATATGCTACTTACTATTATAATTAATATTATAAATCAGGCCCGTGGCAGGTGATGTTGAAACAAACAGATGGTTCTTTTGCCTGCATAGCAGAGAGTGAATATCGCTTCACACTCGGAGAAGTAAGAACACACACACACACACACACAAATACACACACACACACACTTTTGTTTCCTGTCTGTCTCGAAATATGTATGGTTGGTTAAATGACTCTTTTGGCGTGCTCGTTATGGTGGCAGACCAAGCAAGAGCTGTTGCGGGTCTTAGGTCTTCAGGAGGAGAAGGGAAGCACACTTGAATTTCTTCGAAGGGGATTCAAGGTGCCCGGACGCATTTCCAGATTCCCCTTCTCTTTTCTCTTTTGATTCTCATTTCACAAGCATGGTATATAGGAAGTGTGGTTGTAAAATGGTTGATTTTAATCCTTTGCTGCATGCAGACCTCGACATGGTGGGAAGACGATGTTGATTTGGAAAAGTCTTCGGCTTGGCGTAGCTGACGTTGAACAGATGCAACAATCTTTATGAGAGAAGAAATCAGCTTTCTTAATTCTTGCTTGAGTTCAAATATTGTTCTGTCTTGGAATATCTTGGAATAGTGTCTCTTTTGTGGTGGTTTGGGCACTTTAGGTTTGATGCAAGTGTTGATGGAAGGCACTTTTGCTTCTTTTTTTTTGTATCACAGTCGGTGTGTGTGTTTATATACACACAAACACACACACACACATATATGGAGTGTGTGTGTGTGTCTATATATATATATATATATATATATATATATATATATATATATATATATATATATATATATATATATATATATATATATATATATATATATATATATATATATATATGGGCCAGTTTTTGTAAGAATACACTTTGTGGAGAGAGATGAAAAATAAAATCTAGCCTTTGGATATGATGCATCGTGGGGTTCAGATTGCATCCTGCGCTCAGATTTTGAGATAGTGCATTTTCAAAGTATCTTGGTACAATTCAACGTGATGTATTTTCAAATCATTTTGATGCACCTAATTTTGATGCAATCCTTACCCTTAGATCTCACAATCTAAAGTACTAACTTCATTCTCATTTCTCTTCTAAGATTGCATTTTCAGCAGAATATATATAAAGTTTGACATCAAAATATGAGGTGATAGGGCTAATATTTTAGAAAATGAATTATGAAAATGTTATAAAATAAGAGAAAAACTACTCAAAGATTATGAAAATAGATATAATATATTTCTGATTTCTTCTCTCTATTAATTCTTCACTCTTCTTCTTATTCTTAATGGTGATTACAATGCAGGGATTAAGCCTCTATTTATAGTGGAAAGGCTTGGTATGAATACAAATACAAGTGGAAAGTACTGTACATAATTTGTGTTCATCAATTAGTGTCTTAATCTACTATTCTAGAAAGTAGGCCTGATTAATTGAATAAATGAACAATCATTAATTAGATGATGGGTACTTCGTGAAAATGAACACTCCCCCTTGAATTTCATTTTTCAATTAATGATGGGTACTTCGTGAAATGGACATAGTTTAGTAACCCATTCTAATTTTATGTACTGCCTCGTTAAAAAACCTTGTCAGAAAAAACCCAGTGGGATAAAAACCTGATCAAGGGAAAAAGAGTACAGTTCATAAAATTCTCCCCCTCAGCTTAGCATAATTGACGGAGGTGACGCATGCCAATCTTGTGTACGAGTTCTTCAAATTTCTTTGGGGCAACGCTTTTATAAATAAATCAGCAAGATTCTCACTGGACTTGATTTGCTTGATGTCAACCTTTCCATCTTTCTCGAGATCATGTGTTGAGAAGAACTTTGGTGATATATGCTTTGTTCGGTCTCCTTTGATGTAACCTCCTTTCACTTGAGCAATGCATGAAGTATTGTCTTCATATATAGGAGTCGGTTAATTAGTAATTGTTTCTATACCGCACTTGCTCTGGATATGTTGGATCATTGATCACAACCATACACATTCTCTACCTGTTTCGTAGAGAGCTATCAACTCTGCGTGATTTGATGATGTGGCAGTCAAAGTTTGCTTCATCGATCTCCATGATATTGCGGTATCTCCATAAGTAAACACATATCCTGTTTGAGATTTTGCCTTTTGCGGATCAGACAAATATCCTGCATCAGCGTATCCAACAAGAATGGCCTTGGCATCTTTGCGGTAGAATAAACCAAGGTCGATGGTACCATTGAGATATCGCAAAACGTGTTTAATGCCATTCCAATGCCCCCTAATCGGAGTCGAGCTGTGTCTGGCTAACAAGTTCACTGAGAATGCAATATCTGGCCGAGTGTTGTTTGCTAGATACATCAAAGCTCCAATAGCACTCAAGTATGGTATTTCTGGACCGAGTATTTCTTCATCATCTTCACGAGGTCGGAACGGATCATCATGTACATTGAGAGAGCGGACAACCATCGGGGATGTGAGAGGATGTGCTTTATCCATATAAAACCGCTTTAGAACCTTCTTCGTGTAATTTGACTGGCGGATGAATATTCCGTCTTTCAAATGGTCAATTTGAAGACCAAGACAGAATTTTGTTCTCCCAAGATCTTTCATCTCAAATTCTTTCATGAGATATTTTGCAGTATTTTCTATTTCATTAGAAGTTCCAATGATGTTTAAATCATCAACATATACTGCAATAATGGCAAAGCCTGATTTAGATCTACGGATGAAAACACATGGACTAATTGGATCATTTTTGTATCCTTCTCTGAGCAGATATTCACAGAGACGATTATACAACATTCTGCCAGATTGTTTTAGTCCATATAGTGACTTTTCCAATTTAATGGAAAATATCTCTCGAGGTTTTGAACTATAAACCTCAGGCAATTTTAGCCCTCCAGGAACTTTCATATATATGTTAGTATCGAGAGATCCATATAAATATGCTGTCACTACATCCATTAAACGCATTTGAAGTTTTTCAAAGACAGACATGCCTATCAAAAATCTCAACGTAGTTGCATCAACTACTGGGGAATAAGTTTCTTCATAATATATCTCCGGGATTTGAGAAAAACCTTGGGCAACAAGTCGGGTTTCATGCCTTTTGGTCACTACTCATTGCGCTTGCGCACAAAAACCCATTTGAAATCCACTGGTTTCATGCCTTTTGGCGTAGGAACTATAGGCCCAAAAACACTTCGTTTTTCAAGTGATTTCAATTCTGCCTGAATTGCTTCGTTCCATTTTGGCCAATCATGTCTACGTCGACATTCATCAACTGAAGTTGGCTCAATGTCATCATTTTCATCCATGATGTTTGTGGCAATGTCATATGCAAATATATCATCAATATGAACATCTTTTCTATTCCATTGCAATCCCGTAGAAACGTAATTTATTGAAATCTCATAATTATCAATGTTTCTATCTTCATCTGAATTATTCGCATCTTCAGAGATTGTTAAATCCTCATTTGAAACAAATTGTTCGTTGATATTATTTTTTATATCAACATGCTCGGTTTGTTCATTTTCTTTCCTTGAAGAATGAACGTCTTTTGTTTCAAATATTGTCTCTTGCCTTTTAAGTTTTCTTGGTTTTACATCTTTTGAACCAAGTGGTCTGCCACGCTTTTTGCGTATTGAAGACTCATTTGCAAGAGTTTTTTCATTTTTCTCTGAAGGAATTTCAATTCTGGCAGGAGCATTCATAGCTGGAATATGTGACTTTGTCACTTTCTTTGAATCTGTGAATGCGTCAGGTAATTGATTTGCAACATTCTATAAATGAGTTATCTTTTGCACTTCTTGTTCGCATGCATTTGTTCTTGAATCAAGAAAAGATAATCCTGTTGCATTCAATGTAATCTCTTTCGTACATGGGTCCTTTTTCTCATTTTCTCCCCCTAAGGCTGGGAATATTGTCTCATCGAAATGACAGTCAGCAAACCGAGATGTGAATAAATCACCAGTCATTGGCTCAAGATATTTTATAATTGAGGGAGAATCAAAGCCAACATAAATTCCCAGCCTTCTTTGAGGACCCATTTTTGTACGATGTGGTGGAGCAATTGGTACATATACAGCACATCCAAATATTTTTATGTGAGCAATATTTGGTTTTTTTCCAGTTACCAATTGTAATGGAGAAAAAATATGATTTGCAGTAGGCCTTAGCTGAATTAAATTTGCAGCATGCAATACAGCATGTCCCTAAACAGATGCAGGTAAACTGGATTTCATCAATAATGGTCTAGCAATTAATTGTAATCGCTTTATTAAAGACTCAGCAAGACCCTTTTAAGTGTTTACATGAGCAACTGGATGCTCCACATCAATCCCAATAGACATGCAATAGTCATTAAATGATTGGGATGTGAATTCTCCTGCATTATCAAGTTGGATTTTCTTTATTGAATAATCTGGAAATTGACCTCTCAAACGTATGATTTGAGTAAGGAGTTTTGCAAATGCAAAATTTCTCGTAGATAAAAGACTAACATGTGACCAACGTGTTGATGCGTCGATAAACACCATAAAATAACAAAATGGTCCACATGGTGGGGCAATTGGCCCACAAATATCTCCTCGAATTCTTTTTAAAAATGCAAGAGATTCAACTCCAATTTTATTTAGAGATGGCCTGACAATCAATTTTCCAAGAGAGCAGGCAACACATGGAAAATCAATTGATCTTGGAATCCTTATATATTTCAATGGATGTCCCAGTGAATTTTGAATTATTTTGTGCATCATTACACTCCCAGGATGACCCAAACGGTCATGCCACAAAATGAATGTTTTCTGATCATCTAATTTTTTATTAGAGATAACATTCACTTCAACGGAACTAATGTGAGTATAATATAGCCCCGAGGAATACGCTGGCATCTTTTCACAAAGAATTTTATTGCCAGATTTGGTTGTCGTTAGACACAAGTATTCCTTTTGATTTTCTGTCATGGTTTCAATGTGATAACCATTTTGACGCATATCTTTAAAGCTCAATAAATTCCTTCGGGATTTGCTGGAATATAATGCATCTTTGATAATTAATTTTGTTCCTTGGGGAAGGATTAAACAAGCCATTCCAGACCCTTCAATGAGCTTTGCAACACCAGATATTGTATTGACATTAGTTTCCATCAATGTCATTTGAGAAAAATATTCTTTGTTTCTCAAAATGGTGTGCGTTGTGGCACTGTCAATAAGACATTGTTCTTTGCCACTAGAGCCATAAGCAGTTATCTCTATATCTTGAATATAAATAAATATATAAATAAATATAAGTTCAAGATAATTAACACAAATATCATACATTTTATTATAAATTTTTTAGAACAGACATAATAATACAAGTACACATGAAAATTAAAATACATATTTTAAACATTTATTTTAAAAGTAAACACATTTTAACACGTAAATTAAAATATTTAAACAGTAGTAGTTCCACCAAAGGCCACTTCATCACCAATTTCAGCATCATCCATGTAGAAATCTGACACGTCAAATTTAGGCAAAATTGGGTTGATATCATCAGCATAATTAGCCTCCACATTTTTTCCTTTTCCTTTTGTGGAAGCTTGGTATAATTTTACCAAGTGTTTTGCCGTTCGACATTCATTAGCCCAATGTCCTTTTATGCCACATTTATAGCATTCACCACTTGGTTTTGGCTTTTCATGAGTTTTAGCCTGTGGTGGTTTGAATTTCCCTTTTCTCTTGGAGGATGATCCATTTGGATATTTATAGCCCCTATTCGGCCCTTTGTTGCGGTTATTTCCGCGGCTACGTTTAAAGTGTCCACGTGCACCATCTTGGATAACATTTGATTCCGGTGCTGAACAACGATCAGGATGACCAAAATTTGTAGGGGTACAACCGGTAGGCCTCATGTTATGATTTTTCATCAACAACTCATTATTCTGCTCAGCAACAAGTAATACTGAGATTAACTCAGAATACTTTTTAAAGCCCCTTTCTCTGTATTGTTGCTGTAATATCACATTTGACATATGTATGGTGGAAAAAGTTTTCTCCAACATGTCATGATCGGTGATATTATGTCCACATAATTTTAATGTGGACGTGAGTTTAAAAATAGCAGAATTATAGTCACAAACGGATTTAAAATTCTGGAATCTTAAATTGATCCATTCATACTGAGCTCTTGGCACTAAGACCTTTTGTTGATGACCATATCTCTCTTGGAGATTATCCCATAATTTTTTCGGATCTTCCACCAATAAATATTCAGGTTTTAAACTTTCATGAAAATGGTGGCGAAGGAAAATTATGGCTTTTGCCTTTTGCTGAGATGATGATGTATTATTTTCAGCAATTGTGTTTTCTAGGCCATTAGCCTTTAGATGAGCAAGTGAATCAACCCTCCATTCCAAGTACCTTTGACCGAATAAATCAAGAATGTCAAATTCTCTCTGGGTGATGTTGGCCATTTGAAACTACAAAATAATAAATTTAAATTTATGAGATTTTTTTTATAGGTTATAGATTGGCGAGTACGAAAAAAAATACTCAATCAAGAGTATTCAAATTAAAAGAACCAGTATAATGATCCATAAGAATCAAACAAAAACTTTTCTGTACACCCATATGAACCATAAAAAAAATCTTATCACTTAGATGCAAGGTTATTGTATTAATATATATTGAGAGTTTTGAAAGAGTCTATGTCTTTTAAAAAATACGGAGTGATATTCTTTTCTCTCTCATAAACTGACTAATATAATAGCTAGCAGCTTTTATATATATATATATATATATATATATATATGTATGTATGTATGTATGTATCTATATATATATATATATATATATTAAAAAGTTTATTTGCTTAGAAAAGAAAACAAAACTAAAAACAATGTACTGTGGTTCCATGAATGAGTTGTCCACATCTAAAAAAAATTGTACCTGCTCCGTATTAAAATATCCACTAAAAAATTTCTATTTGAAAAATAGATACCAAGCAAAAGCTTCTATATTACGGAGTACTACTAATTTTTACAAGTCATTCATCTCTCTCTAGTCTCCACCCTCTAAAATATGGAGAGAAAAGTTTGCAGGATTTGAAACAAAATATTGATAGAAGATTTTATCAGGTAAGATCAATCATTTAATTTATTTTTTATATCTCTACATATTATTATTATTATTATTATTATTATTATTTGGATCTTATCTAATATGTATTAAATTTTACTCTTGGTTTAATTTTATGAAACATGATTTTCTGATGTGAAGGATCCCAAATTTGGGCAATCACAGAGCATACTTCTCATAGTTTTTAAGAAAATATTTTTAGTTTGTTTATGAAAAAAATTAAATAAATATACCTTCTGAGAAGAACAAGAATTCTGGGATTTTGAGCAAATTCGTGCTGATAACGTGTTATAAAATGAGAAAAAACTACTCAAAGATTATGAGAATAGATATAATATATTTCTGATTTCTTCTCTCTATTAGCTCTTCACTGTTCTTCTTATTCTTAATGGTGATTACAATGCAGGGATTAAGTCTCTATTTATAGTGGAGAGACTTGGTATGAATACAAATACAAGTGGGAAGTACTGTACATAATTAGTGTTCATCAATTAGTGTCTTAATCTATTATTCTAGAAAGTAGGCCTGATTAATTGAATAAATGAACAATCATTAATTTCATAACACAAAATAGATAAAGAAAGAAATCAAAATTTTATCACGTAGGTAGTGAGTGATAAATTCCTTTTGTGAATTGCAACAAATTTTTTTTAAAAACAGTAATTCATAATGGTAATCGGTATATTCACTCCACCAATGTTAGCGGCACTCCACACTTGCCTAGTTCTTTTCAAATTAACAATAATGCCCTTAAGAGTCCATTTGATATACTGAATTGGTGGAATTAGAATTGAAAGAGAATTGAAATTCCGTGGAATTCAATTCCACAGAATTGAATTTTTCTAATTCGAATTCATTTTTTACACTATCAATTCCAAAGTCACCTAATTTTTGTGCTACCAAACACCAGAATTGAAATTGAAGCCCTGAATTCTAATTCCATAGTTTGAATTCTGATGGGCCGACATCCAGTGGGCGGCCCAAAGGAACTAGTTAAAAAAGTCCGGGTCAGGTGCGCACGAGAGATGCTGGAGCATGGGCCGGCCCACGACACGGAGCCCAGTCTACATAAACAGAGACAGGCTGGCAGAGCCGGGCTAGAGGAGAAGACGGAGCTGGATGGCGAAGATGGAGCCGGAAAAAGTTGATCGCACCAATGACGAAACGGACACCCGTTGATTATGTATTACCTTAATTGTCTAGAACCTATGTATAAATAGAAGAGACCCGGAAGGGAAAAAGAGAGGGCGAAATAAAGCTAATAATACACGCCTAATTCTCGAGTTCTTGTTCTTAATTATCTCTTTACGATCCGTTCTTCTAAATCAGATCATTCGGTGGATTTATATTGGTGCTTCCATTGAGAGCTCGAAAATCATACTCAGAGAAAAACCTTCCAAGAAGACGATGGTGCAAACACGCAGCAATGCCAATGCTGGAACCGGAGCCCCCCACCAGGGCAAAAACAGCGCTACCGGTGGCCGGCACCCTCCTATCAATACGACAGAGGCGGAGGCCCTCATTCAGAGGGTTGGGATCACGGCTGAGTAGTTCAAGGAGGTGCTGGCGGCACTGACGCCTAATCGCGAGATTGTGGTGGAAGACGCGACCGGGGTACCCATAGGCGAGAAGGCTGGACCTGCGGGCTCGCAGGGAAAGAAGAAAAAGGTGAGGTGCTCCCAAAAGAAGAAGGCGACCAAGCCTAATGGGAAAGCCAGGATGGAAGATGCGCTGTCCATATTGGACGAGGAAGACAAGTCGTCCTCTTTTGAGCGGGCATTAGCCTTTGATCGCTTGGGAGACCCCAAGGCAAAGAAGCTCTGAACCTCCGCGTTCGATCGGCTGCAAGACACGCGGTCGGCCCGCAAAGGCGACCTGAGGGAGATGCTCAAGGAAAGGAGAGGAGAATCCACTGCGACCTCCACAATCGGCTCGGAGGAACGACGAAAGGCGGTCGAGGACAAGGAAGCAGCTGAGTTGTGGAGGATGTATGAGCGATTGGAGAGGCGGCTGGACGCCCAGAACCCCTATTGCCAGGCGGTCTTTAGCGAGGTAACGCCCTTCTCCAGGAGAATAATGTCCTGTCCTCTCCCGGACAACTTTAAGACCCCACAGGTCAAAGCATACAACGGGACGACTGATCCCCAGGATCAACTTGCTCGCTTCAGGGCAAACGTAGTCATGTATGCGTACCCTGAAGAGATTAAGTGCCGATGCTTCCTAGCGACACTGGAAGGGCAAGCTTGTGAGTGGTTCCATAAGTTGCCCAAGGGATCAATAGACAGGTGGAGCGACCTGGCCCACAAATTCTTGGAGCACTTCGCATCCAGCCGGAGGCAAAAGCTCCCCTTCTCGCATCTGCTTAATGTGAAAATCTGGAAGGGGGAGCAACTCCGGGAATTCATCAATAGGTGGGAGAAAGAGGCTAAAGACACCCAAGGGGCGGACGACCATGCCCTGATCGCTATGCTCCAAGCGGCACTCCCCCAAGGGGATGTGCGCAAGGAGCTGTGACGAAACCCGCTCTCGACCTATCAAGAGATGCTGGCAAGAGCGAAGTACCTGGCGTTGGAAGAGGAAGATGACAAACCACCCGTCCGGAAGGAAAAGAAAAGTGGACCACCGGTGGCAAAAGAAAAGAAGAGGAAAGACTACGGTAGGGGGGCCGAACCCTACCGGATATCAGGTGAACAGACATCCCGTCCACGCGATGCAGTCCTTACCCGCCCCTCCCTGTAGTCAAGAAAGCTATGGCATTCAGGATGCACCCAAATACTCCGAGTACCACCATAACAGCAACCACAACACGTCGGAGTGCGTTACGTTAAAGAAGAAGATGGACCAGCTGATCGCCAGAGGGCCGTCTCCCTGACCGGAGCGACCATCATCAGGTAACCGTACCTGGAGAAGACCGGCGGCACCTACCGTAGCGATCACAGCAGGGGATGGGCAGGAGGACGGACGGCGGCATCTAGGGAGAGATTGCCATGACCTAGATGAGGAAGAAAGGAAGGACCGCCGACACCTGGGGTGTCGGTTCATTATGGGCGGCAATACCGGAGGGGACTCGACGTCCTCACGAAGGAAATGGAAGAATATGGTGCATCTGGCCGAGGTGCAAAGACCACCTCTACCCAAGTGGAAGAAGAAGGAGCCATTGGTCTTCACAGATGAAGACTATCCACCGGTTCTTAGCCCCCATCGGGAAGCGCTGGTGGTAAAGGTAGAAATCAATAATGTGGTAGTCCACCGCACATTGGTCGATACTGGCAGCTCGGTCAATATCATGTATAACAATACCTTTAAGGAGCTGGGGTTGTCCCGGAACGACCTGAAGCCGATCCATACCCCGCTGTCGGGATTTACGGGGGATACCATTGAAGCAGAAGGAACCATCACGGTAAGGGCTGGGGTAGGAGATGGCACCCACCGACTCTGGCTCGACGTGGAATTTATGGTAGCGCAGCTTGATTGTGCACACCATTTGATCCTAGGGCGACTAGGTCTGGAGGACTTGGAGTGCGTAATCTCTCCCGTCCACCTGTGCATGAAGTTCAACACCCCTACCGGAGTAGGGGTGGCCAAAGGAATCAGGGTTTGTCTCGATCGTGCTATGTCAGGGCGACCAAGAGCCAAGCCCGGGTCGATGAGAACGTAAGCACGATCTGTGCTGCAATCTAGAAGGAAGAGGGGCGACCTCGAGCTGAACCAGCGGAAGAGGTTGAAGAGGTCACCTTGGACCCAGCCAAGCCAGAGCAGAAGGGGAAGGTAGGTAAAACCTTACCTCATAGGTCAAACGAGCAGCTATTGGAGGTCCTGCGAGCATTCAAGGTGCTATTTGCTTGGGGCCCAGAGGACATGCCCGGGGTCGATCCGAAAATCATCTGCCATAGGTTGGCAGTGGATCCGACACATAAGCCAGTCAAGCAGAAGAAACGTTTCCTTTCCTCAGAAAGGAGAGAATTTGTCACTAAGCAAGTGACGACCTTGCAGTCCATTGGGCACATCCGGGAGGTCCGTTACCCAGCATGATTGGCAAATGTAGTCCTCACACCCAAAGGGAACACCTGGCGGATGTGCGTTGATTACACCGACCTAAACAAAGCTTCCCCGATGGATCCTTTCCCTCTCCCCAACATTGATCAGTTGGTGGATGAGACGGCATGGTGTGAATTGATGAGCTTTATGGATGCATTCAGTGGATACCATCAGATCAAGATGGCTGTAGCGGATGAAGAGAAGACCGATTTCATAACCCCCAATGGGGTATACTGCTACAAGGTGATGCCCTTTGGTTTGAAGAATGCTGGGGCGACCTACGCGCGAATGGTCAACAAGCTGTTCGCACCAGTGCTAGGGAGATGTATGGAAGCATATGTGGACGACATGATTGTTAAATCAAAACAGATGGAATCCCATGCCCAGGACCTGGAGAAAGATTTCAAAATCATGAAGAAGTTCCAGCTTCGCCTCAACCCCAAAAAGTGCACGTTTGGGGTTCAGGGGGGCAAGTTTCTTGGGCACATAGTCAGTCGAAGGGGGATCGAGCCCAATCCAGAAAAGGTGAAGGCGATCTTAGAGATGGAGCCTCCGCGGAACGTGAAGGAGGTCCAACAGCTCACAAGGAGGATCGTTGCTCTCAGTTGCTTCTTGTCAAAGATAGCTGATCGAGCGGCACCCTTATTTCAGACCATTAAGAAAAGAAAAGATTTTGTTTGGATTGAAGAATGTCAACGGTCCTTTGAAGGGTTGAAGGGGTACCTCCTCTCTCCACTGGTGCTTTCGAAGCCGGAGCCTGGAGAAATCCTGTTCCTATACTTAGGAATTTCTCCTCGGGCATTGAGCTCAGTACTCGTGAGAGATGAGGAAGGTACGCAGCGTCTAGTGTGTTATGTGGCTCGGGTGTTGAGGGGGGCAGAGCTTAGATATACGAACATGGGAAAAACCATCTTTGCAGTGGTCTGTACGGTGAAGAAACTCACCCCTTACTTTCAGGCCCACCCGGTCCACGTGCTATCCCAAATTCCAATCGGAACCCTCCTCTGGAGTCTGAATGCTCCGTCACGAGTTAGCAAGTGGGGAGTGTTCCTGGGATCTTTCCTGATAGAATTCAAGCCACGACCAGCGATCAAGGGGCAGGCCTTGGCGGATTTTGTGGTAGAATGCATTGCAAGGGAAGTGGAATCCAACAGAGAAGAACCCGAAGGAAATTGGTGGATTATTTACATCGATGGACCGTCCGCGACTGACGCTTCGGGGGGAGGCGTCGTGGAAATATCACCGGAAGGATTCAAGGCATACTACTCCGTAAGGTTCCGGTTCAAGGTCTCAAACAACGAGGCTGAATATGAGGCACTACTCTACGGTTTGAGGCTGGCAGCGTCGTTATAGGCTGAACGGATCCAGGTCCAGTGCGATTCCAAGCTGATAGTAGGCCACGTCACGGGAGAGTTTGAGGCCAAGGATGAGCGAATGAAGAGGTATAGAGATACTCCTCTAGAATTACTTAAGGCGTTCGGGGCATACCGGATAGAGCAGGTCCCTCGAGAAGAAAATGCCGAGGCGGACATCCTGTCAAAACTTGGTCCAGACTCCCCAGATCATATGAGACTGGCTGTTCTTCAAGGTTTTGGTTTCTTAGAGGAGGTAATGTAATGATTAAGCTAGACATGGCCAAGGCCTTTGACAAAATGTCATGGAGCTACATAGGGGCTGTTCTTCAAGGTTTTGGTTTCACAGAAAAGTCCACTTCCCTACTTCTTCAAAACCTAAGGTCTACATACATATCAGTTCTTGTCAATGGGAAACCATCAGGATTCTTCCAAATCAAGAGAGGAGTCAAACAAGAGGACCCCTTATCCCCTCTCTTCTTCATCTTGGGTTCTGAGGGTTTTTCCAGGAGCCTAGAACATGCAATCAATATTGGTTACATAGCTCCTTATAAGGCTGGCAGGAGTATGGTTGTTTCTCATTTGGACTTTGCAGATGACCTGATTGTGTTTCTCAAAGGAGATTTCAGGAACCTACTGAGATTCAAACACATTCTAAATAACTATCTCAGAGCCTTAGGACAGGAAGTGAATCAGAAGAAAAGCACAATCTACTGCAAAAAGAATTTCCATGGGGACTATATACTCAAAGTGGAAGAGGCTCTTGGCTATAGGATTGACAACCCCCCCTTCAAATATCTGGGTTCTACCATCACAACTGGTAAGTTAAAAAAAATTCATTGTGATCAGATTCTTACTCACTTTGATAATTATCTCAACAGTTGGTATAACAAAGAACTCAACCCTATGGGTAGACTCATACTCATCAAACATGTCCTTAGTGCCATCCCCTTGCATACTATAGCAGTACAGGACCTACCTAAGTCTATCATCAACTTGATTCACTCTAAATTGGCAAATTTCTTTTGGGGAACTAAAAATGGTAAATACAAGCATCACTGGGCTAAATGGACCACTCTATACAAACCCACTGGTGAGGGAGGGATAGGTACCAGAAGCTTATTTGACATTCAAAAAGCCTCAGCCTTGAAGCTTTGGTGGAAGTCAGTTACAGAGCAATCTATTTGGGCCTCCTTTATGAGGGACAGATACTATAGGGATGGTCTTTTCGAAGCCAAATTATATGACTCTTCCTCCCGGAAGAAAATTTGCAGAATTTCTCACATAGGTCTCCGGAATACTACCCTGTCCAATCACACCTACAGTTGGATCAATGGAGAATTCACCTTCAAAGAGGCTTACTGGGCAGTAAGGGAAAGGAATATCAGTGAGCAGCTTTTCACCCTTAACTGGAACAAATTCCAGATTCCTAAGGTTAAGCTTTTTTCACTTGGAAAGCTTTGAACCAATTTCTCCCTTTTCCCAATATTCTCAAAAAACTGAATTTTAACCTGCCTAGTAAGTGCTTATTATGTGGCAAGGCTGAAGCTACGGATAAACACACGCTACTTACCTGTGAGATGGCACAAAGCATCTGGAAAGCCTTTGCAGACTACATCGGAGGACCAGTTTGGAAACAAGAAACAGAGCTAAGGGATTACTTTCTACAATGGTGGGTCACTTTTAAAAAAACATCTCTCCGTGGTCTACTCAAGCTAATCCTTCCTGGATGTATACTATGGATCTTATGGAAGACTTACAATAGATGCATTTATGAGGATCACAAACCAACAAAGGTGGGGATTATCATTGAAATCCAAAAACTAATTCAACACTCCTTTTGGTCGAACAAAAAAGCTCAGCCCATTGCTATTAAGGAAGAGATTGAAGCATTGAACCTCAAACCCTACCTTGCCAAAGAACATTGCAAAGAAAGAAGACACACCTGTTAGTCTCTTCTTCAACTGACCGAACGAGATGTGGGGTTAGAAGTTGACGCAGAGGGACATAAGAATTTCCTCTTTTGTCTCATCTACCTTTACTTCTTATTTTGTTGTTTTTGGCTTTTGCTTTCGGGGCTTCAGTATAGTCCTCCCCGAACTTGTATTCTTTCTTACTTTCGGGGCTCTGGTCTAGTCCTCCCGAACGTGTGCTTACTCGACTTTAATGATATTGGTACGGGCGGCCTGGACCTTACCCCACTGACTTTGGTGGAGTTTTCGGGCACATATATATATATATATGTCCATAAAATGTATAATAATATTCATGATATGGCACATATTATCATATGGTCAATTTGATGAATCATGATGATAAATATTTAATGATGATGATACATTAATTTGATCAATTTGATTGTTCTTGATGATGATTAAATGACGCCTATGTAATCAATATAATTGTTCTTGATATTTCATAATATAGCATGTATGTTCAAGATGATGATGACAATATAAATTTGATGTCATTTATAGTCATGATGATTTTACTTAATGATGACTTCATGCTGTATGATTCTAGTCAGCAAGGAATCACCTTGCAACTATGAGATTCACCCATTTGGTATGACGAACTCATGTCCTTCTTAGTCTCATGAGGGAGACTAGAAAAATAGCTGTGGTACTAGAAAGTATGAATACCATGTACGTACACTAAGCCCGGTCAGGGTTGTCGGACTACTAAGTCCCGCACAACCACGCTATAAGAGACGCAATTACGCATGATCTCTTACGCATGCACATGATGTGATATGCTTCAATATAAATGATGAAATGAATGACATGATGCGAACAATTTGCAAACAATATGAATATATAATCATGCATTAGTTTATAATCATGCATTAGTTTATGTGAATTTATAATCATGCATTAGTTTATTTGGATGAAACATGATTAAAATATCATTTAATCAAGCTACTGGGTTCGGAACGGTCGACCGTTTGGCACGGCGGTCGACCTTGATCTTCACTTCCTTGGAACGGCGGATCACCGGTCGACCGTGGTTGACTGGCTGCGGATGGCAGACTTCGGCTGGCTGGCGGCGGTCGACCATTCGCCGGCGGCGGTCGACCGTTCTGCTGGCAGTCGTGGTCCGTTTCGAAGTTTAATACGACGGTCGACCGTTTGCGTCGACCGTTTGGGTCTGCGAATCTTTCTCTTGATATTTTGAGTGTTCAAAATACTTCTTTAAGTCTTTTAAACACCTTTGATTAAAATATACATGTTGTTGGGTTGATTTCAAATGTTTATATATACTTAGGTATATATATTAACTTTATGAATTTGGTGTATTTTGGTCTTAACACATAGATGACATATATATGCTTCACATATGGATTAATATATATATATATATATATATATATATATATATATATATATATATATATATATGTTCATGTATGTATGTGGTGAATGATTCGACAAGTCTAACGCAAGGGTACAGACCTGGAAATTATCGGCCGAAACCTTACGGATGAGCGGGAGTGAAAACAACATCGAAATTTGCCAACTTTGTCATTTCCGTCATAAATGGACAGCCTGTGGTATTTTGGGCATATCTCCATTGTTTCTTCACGGAATTGCAAACCGTTTGATTCTGTAGATTCCTAAGATGTAAGGCTATAACGTTCGTATAGAAAGTATTTTGAGTTAACAGATGTAAGATGGCGTAAATCAGACCTGAAGTCAAAGGATAGTTGCTGTCTAGGATTTCGGATATGTCAATGAACCACGATTCCGACGATTAACTCATTAACTTCAATATTCCAACATCGAACCTTCTCTACGATACCTTCCGAATGTTCCTAATAATTGTTAGAGAGTTTATGGTGAGTGTTTGGAATGAAACAACATGGATATGGTGAAGAAACATAGCCAACCCGAGGAGCTCGCCACCTCTTGCGCAGTCCCGGTATTTTGGCCATATCTTCTTCGTTGCTTAACGAAATCGCGAGCCGTTTGTTGGGCTGGAATCGTATCGTCCGGGGCTACAACTTTATTTCAAGAGGTATTTCGAGATAATGGATGGAAAATTTCAGTTTTTACCTCAAAGTGGACTGCTGTGTTTTTGGACTCAAAACGTGGAAACTTTGGATGATTTTCTTGCTCCTTCTTCTTCTTCCTTAACATAAACCATGGAGCATAATTGTGTTTTCTTCCTCCTTAGTTGCTGCCGACAGAGAGGGAGGGATGGTGAGGAGGAGAGATGATGGGTGATGTGGAATGGTGTAAGATGATGATGATGTTATAGTGGAGTTTTATGTAGGAAGGATATGAATTATTTGCTAGTGGGTGTCCATATTTCTTCCTAGGGTGGCTAAGGATTTGGGAGATGGAGGCTACGAGATTTTGGGGGATATTTTAGGATTTAGTTTTGGACCTTTGTCCAAACTGAACAGTTTATCCCAAATGATACGCGTTTTTTCGCCCAAACTGTTCCGAATTGAAAACGAATTGTGTTTTTTGGAATGAGACTGTCAAAACTAGAATTTTGATGTAATCAGAATATTTTTCTGAGAACTTTTATTTTTATTTAATCTCTGGGTCTGTCTCAGTCATAAGTTAATTTAATAAGATGAATGAGATAAAAATATACGAATTAAATCCAAATGATTAATATGATGTTATTAAGTGTCAAAAATTAAGATTTCTAATTTTATGAAATCACTTTTGAATTGAGTTTATTTTTATGGGTCAAAGTTACAAATTTTAATATTTAAAAATCGTCATAACTTGAAATCTATAAATCAGATTGGTTCATAAAATGTAATGTTGGATTCGTCTCTTCGAGACATATCCATAAAAATAAGTTTTTAACAAAAAGTCATTATTTTTAAAATCCATTTATTTTTGGTCAAACCTATAAATATTTTTTATTGGACAGAAATTACTTTTGTTTTATAATAAATTTTAGGTCATATTTTGTGGCATTACATTTCTTCCCCCCTTAAAGAAATTTCGTCCCCGAAATTTCCTTAGGTGAAATCATTTAAAATGATGATGTACAAAATAATGAATATCCATTGTTTTTGTAAAACACAAATTTTGAAAAGTTTTTTTCTTTGTTTTGTTGAGTGTCATGATTATGACATTTTCTCTTTAGAGAAGATATACGCGGATGATAGATGTAACGTGTTTGGATTTTTTTATGAAGACTTGCGTCCAAAATACTCTTAGACTTGCTCTTGCTGTATTGTAGGAGTTCTCAGGAGTTCTTGTATAGATTGCGTTTCTTGAACGTGGGGTAATTTACGATTTTTTTTTGAAATTCTTTTAGAATCATTCTCAGACGACTTTGTCTGAAATGTTGGTTTCATAAATTACACTTCGTTGTGTACAAGCTGGAATGAATTGTTTCTAGGTTTGACGCTTTTACATAATGGCATTTTAAGGAATGACTATTACCATAGTCAGCATTCTAAGTTTCTTAGATGAATACATAATTATACTTTCAAAACTTGAACTCTCATTAGCGATTCTTAATAGAGTTGTTCTGACGAACGTAATGTCAATAAACTGATTAAAGCTTGTTGGTAATAGTTAACACATATATCACACTTATGTATAATAATGATATATGTTTTTTTATCACATTGTAATGATTGGATGAACGTTTTGATAGCACTTTCTATTTGTCACTATTTGTTTTATCAAGATGATATGTAGTCATTCTTGAATACTGATTTTCTAATTGATGATTCCAAAACTACCTTGGAATTTCAGACTTTCTCAATAATTATGATAGAGCTTCGTGCTCAAAAATTATAATATTAGTGTATTCGTCATATCACAAATATTCATAACACAATAATTAAAATTACTTATTACCAAAAACATGATAAGTTATATACATAGTCATATTCTAATATATTTGAGATTCTACAAACACATACGTGATTTCTCTTGATGGTCCGCCCAATTGACTTGGGTAGGGATCATATTCACCTTCAGTGTAGTCGTATTCACCACACAAGTGACAACTTTTCCTTTCTAGTTGTTGCACATATGTTCCTTTGTTAGGGTCAAGCAGAGTTTCTTGATCATCATTGATAATAATCTTCATAGATAACGTAGTCACATCAATCGTTACAGAGTATGGTTTTTGAGGATCGGTATCATAAAACATCTTCTTGGGTTTGAGGGAGAGTCATGAGTTACAACAAGTTCTTAATGATTTGATACAGAAAATGGAATTCAATCTTTTCAAAATTGATCAAGTGAGATGCTTCAAGTGTGTAATTAACACAGCAAGTTTTAGTATTTCAAGGATGCGAGTCACAAGATACAAATATAACATTTGCGAATTACCACTCAATGTTTCGCCCTTTGGAAATTACTCAAAGAGTCATTCTCTAGGGAAGTAGTCATTTTGACTTTTCGTCTCGGATTTGAATGTATTTCAGGACAACGAGCCTAACTATTCATGAGTCTCAATATGTCATGTCGTCAGCAGACTGTAGTATTGGCGAGTACATTCTTGTCTGGAGCGAATCCACTTTCGTGTATGGTTTTAGGGTGGTGATAATTACTTTTCCATCAATGGTCCAGTTTCAGAGTCTATATATATCAGATCGTGGCAAGAGCTCTCACATTCTCACATTATGGAAGGAACTTCTCGAGTAAAGAACCCCGACGGAGCGTCTAGGGCGGTCTGGGTGCTAGTAGGCCTTAGAACCTCAATAGAGGGTCCAACCATGTCAGTGGCATCGGCGAACCCCTAGTCAGTAATTCGGCAATGGCACAATGCCATGATGTTCTCGTCGAGCATAACCCTCGAGCCCCCCGTGCTGGGGTCGAGGAAGGAAATTGCTTCCTCAATCGGCGTAGCTTTTGGCCGGGCATGGCCGGCGGCGACGGATGGGACGATTGAGTCTGGCTTGGGTCACGGCCAGAGGCCGATTGATCGGCTTGGAGAGAATTGGACGATGCGGAATCAGAATCAGAGATAATCATGGTGGCAAAAGAAGAAACTGACCTGAGACAGGAGAAAAACGGGTCGGGTAATGGCGGAAACGGAAACGAACGCAAGAGCAATTGAGAAGGAAAATGAGGTGGATTGGCGTCTAGCAGCGGTTTTAACAGGCAATAGGAAGGCGAAACAGCATGTCATGATTACCTTGCAGTGGGGATCGTGCCAAAC